GATATTTTATTCATCATGGATTTTTTGCATTAACTTTTTAAAAAATATATTGCATTAAAATATTATTTATCTTGATTACTGAGATTTTTGGCCCCTCCTTAAATTTTGCCCTCAGACAAGTGCCTAGTCCCAGTCCTGCCACAAGACCATGAGATATAATGACAAACGTAACTAAGAATCAGGGACGGATTACGCAATAATCAGGGACGGATTACCCAATACGCATGGGGTTAATTGATGTGAAACCCAGGTGAAATTGTGCTCTATAGATTAGTAAGTAAGCACAATTAAGCGTGTGTGTACCTTGCTTACTGCAAGCCAGTGCATACCCTGTTTACTGGTTAATCCCACCCTGCTGAGAATATAGACAGTCGAGATGTGTTGGCGACAGACATCAGGCTGAGCAAACACACTTCCAGCAAACACAGATGGTTAGTTAGTGGCAGCTGAGAGGACATAGGCCTAGGGAGAGATGGAACTGTGTGTAAGGCGGTGAGGCATGCTTGGGGCCTGGAAGGGGGAGGATAGAATCTGGGGCAAACCACAGTCCCACATAGGGTTGGTGCATGGGGTGGAGGAGTGCAGCAGGGCCAGCCCTTCCCACCCCACCCCAACTCCTGTGCCAGGGCCCTGAGGGAGCCCAGGAAGGGCAAGAGCCATAGACGGGGCAGAAGATGAAGAGGCCTGGTTGGGCCTGGCTAGAAAAACTCTGGGCACAGGCCTGTGTGAGGTGGGGCTCCTGAGCCTGTCCAGTAGAGGGCCCTAGCACCAGGCGACTGTCTCTGCTTTGGGGATGGCTCCGAAGGGGTGTGGGTGCTGGCTGGGGCCCAGGCAGGGTGTGTGCCAGATGGGCTTCCCTCCAGCAATAACAGCCCTGGCTGCTGCCATCCACTGAGCCTGCCAGGCCCCAGCGGGGGTGGAGAAAGGAATCAGCCTTCCCTAAGCTGGCTGGTGACCCTCACCACTTCCGTCTAGTTACCTTCCACTTCCAGCCTCCTTTGTGCACATCTGCAGCCACTGGCCACATATCTGGCCACACTTGGTGGATCTGCCTGACCACTGGGCCTGCCACCCCCATAGGCCCAGAGACAGGAAAGGAAAGTGGGGAGAGAAGCAGGGGCCAAGGAAGACAGGAGGCCCAGGAGAGGAAGAATCAGAGACTGAACAAACAAGAGGGCAGGAATGAGGGGAGGGAAGTTGTGGACCCAGCCATGGAGCCTCCCACAAGCTATGAGGCAGTGCCTAGGAAAATATCGCCCATACCCGCCTTCCTGCCCTCTGGTTAAAGCTTGTTTTGTTCTGTTTGAGTCACTTCTCTGTGGAGGTTTAAGAAAGGCCAGAAGGCTGGGTAAATGTCCTTCTGGAGTAGCTTGGGGAGAGGGTACTGATCCTAAGCAGAAAAGCTACTCCTCCCCCAGGGCCCAGCTGTTTCTGTCTGGTGACAGGGTGTGACTCTGCTTATCCCTATGATGTTAGGACTGCTAATTGTTAATTAGTTTCTGAGGCCTCTCCAGAGGACAGGGCCCTTGGGTAGCTTGGGTTGGGGTTGGGGTTGGGGGGATGGATTGGATTTTCTCTCCTGAGGACCGCTCCAGCCTTTGGATCCTCCTTCAGCACAGAGCCTGCTGTGGCGCCAGTGAGTGTCCCGCCCCCACCCTAACTTACTGCCTAAGAAAAAAAGGAAAGGAATCCTTTTCTCTGCCTTGGAGATACTTGATGAACTGACAGCTCACCTCCCCACCCCCTTCCTCCTCAGCTGGTGGAGGATGTGGGGCTCAGCAAGACTCCTGTCTTCTCAAGGACAGTGGGATTCACTTCAGGATGTTAACGCTGTTTCTGGCTGTTTGTCTTCGCATCCCCAACTGTGCCTCGGTTTTCCAAAGTTCTGGATTTAGAAAGGGTGAACACTGACAGATTACCCAATAACCAAGGTATGCAAGGACTTACTTGTGCTTACTAACCTTTAGTGCACAATTTCACCTCTTTTTCACATCAAAAATGTAGTGAAACCCATGTGAAATTGTGCACTATAGATTAGTAAATAAACACAAGTAAGCCCATGCCTACCTTGCTTAATGTAAGCCCCAGCGTACCTTGCTTACTGGTTAATCTGCTCTGAGAGTGACTCATGAGGGGGCTACAGGGCTGCATCTCTACCCCCCCCACACACACATATAGCACCATACATCTCCCTCCAAGCCAAAGTTGTGGGTGGTGGGTATTGCGGTGTTTGTGTCTGTGTGTGTTAGATACACAGGTCACAGAACAAGAGGTGGTCTTAAGTTGGAGGAATCCCACCGGGGAGAAGGGGGCAGAAGCAAACCTGTAGGAAGAGGAAGAGGAGTCTGAAAGGAAGAAGGTGGCACTGAAAAGGGGGGCCTGAAAATAAAAAAAGGTGCAGTGTGGAGCAAAAGTGGTGTGGGCAGGGTTTGGAGAGGATAACGGAACATCTGGGATAGAATGGGGCGTCCAGGCTTGTCTGAGCAGAGGGTTTGTCATGGGAGATTCCCGCGACAGTTTCTGTAGAAGTTTGCGGAGCCCCAGTGGAGTAGACTAGGGGTACTGAGCGTGGGGCTGTACCCTCCAGAGTCGCCCCCTTGATGGAGGAGAGTTGGTATGGCAGGTCCCCAAAAGGCTGCATCGAGGGTGATAACGTGAGGTATGGACCAGAAGACCCTGGGGGCTCAGGGTCTAGGGGATGCAGCCCCCGAGCGTCAGGAGCCGCTGTGGGAGTGGCAGGGGCGGTCCCAGACGGGCTGGGGCAGGCTGTCGCAAGCCGGGGAGGGCTGGGGGCGGGCCTAACGGAGGGCGGGTAAATGCTCCGGCCCGCGCGGGAAGCCGCCAGATAGTGCGCGGACCTTACCGCGGAGAAGCCCACCTCGAGTAGGTGCTGCCAGGGTCGGAGGGTGCCGGGGACGGAAGGCGCCGCTTCCCTCTTGCCACGAGGCAGGGAGGCCGGGCCTGATAGCTACGCGGCTGGGACACCCCGGGTGCGGGCGCCGCTTCCCGGCGCAGAGCGTGCGGAGCTGCGCAGCACGTGGCGCGGTCGGGCCAGGGCTCGGGAAGGGTGACCCTGCGGGGCTGGGGACCCCAGAGGCGCGTGGGTGGCCTGGCCCCCGGGCGTAAACTCGGCTGTCACTGCGCTGACCTCCACCAGGGGCAGGCAAAAGAATGGTTAATCGCGATTGGTTTGTTGTTGGTATAGGGGAGAGGCCGCGCCGCTGGCTGCGTTGGGGGAGGAGAAGGAGGACGCGGAATGGAGGTCGGGGAGCTGCCTCTTCAGCCCACGCCTTTTTCTGGCTGAACTCGTGTCTGTGGTCCTCCTCTTCCTGAGAGAGGACCCTTCGTTCACTCAGAGGACAAGGACACATATCCTGGGTTTTCCTCCCGGGGGAGAGCAGTGGTGGGCAAGGCTGGCCCCATCCTTGCCCTCAAGCCTCTCGGGGCCTCTTCCCCAATCCCATGGTCGCCCCTTTGCCAACTCCTCTTGGTAACTTCCAGACCCTCCTGTTTCTCCTCTCCACCGTCCTGCCTGCCTGGGCCCTGAGAGAGAGAGAGAGAGAGAGATTGTATTTGTGTGTATAATGGGGGCGGGGGGGTTGCCTTAAAACTGACACTCATGTCAGGCTGGTGATGACCCACCTTATTTTTCTCCCTTGGTTGGAGCAGAGTTCCCTCACCTTCCAGTCTACAAGGGTAGTCCGGAAGCAGGCTTTATACCTCCCTCCCCACCCCAAAAGTAGCCTAGAAGAAGCTGCACTCACTGGCTGTGCGGCCTTAGGAAAGTGACTCAACCTTTCTGAATCTCAGCTGCCTCTGTTCAATGGAGACAATCTAGTACTGGCTTATGGGTGGTTGTGAGGGAGGATCTGCAGTTAGTGACTAGCCCCATAGATGATAAACCCCTACGGGATCCTGGTGAGTGGAGAGTTTGATGCTACTGCAAGGGTGTTTCTAGAAGCTGGGGTGCATGAGCGCTGTTGAGAGGGTGGGAAGGTGCTCAATTTAGTGGCTGCTTTCGGAGCCACATTTCAGCAGGCCAAGGCATGGCTGGAGGGACACCAGATGCTCTGAGCTAGTATCATATCCCTGGTCACTGCTGGGCAAAGGCAGCCAAGAACAAAACACCAGGGCTGGCCTGCTGAATGTCAGGGGCAGGGGCTGCCTGTGGAGTTGAATTGTGCCCAGGACTAGAGTGGGGACTGCTGAGAACAGAAATAGCAGGGGTGTAGCTGGAGAGAGAGGTCAGAAATAAATACTTCTCTGAGCCTAAGCTGGATTTTACTGAGGGGAAGGGGAGATAACTCTATTCTCCCCACCCTAGTCTCCCATCTGGCTTGAAACTACACCTGCTCTTAACTCAGGAACCCTGCAGGGGGGCTGGGGGCATGTTGGAGACCAATCGGGTATGCCAAGGTGAGAAGCTGGGAGTTCCCTTCCCTGCTACCTAATAGAAAATCTGACACCTAAGCCTTTTCCGCCTACCGCCCCCCACAGCAGAGCCCTCTTGCCCCCACGCCTCTGGAAAATGTAACTACTATTGTTCATCACTCTGTCCGCAGTGCCTGGCTGACATGCAGAGGTCCTCAGTAATAGCTGTTTTGTTGAAAGGATGAATGAAAGAAGCCCTCTGCCTCCCTTGGGAGGTGTTTGGGTCTGCTCCCCTCTCCTTGCCCCTGCAACCCTGGTGTGGGTTGGGGGACTGAGGAAGGCCTTTGGAGAGTCTGGCGTTTGCCCAGGGAGGGGTTGAGGGAGATTATCAGGAGGGGTGGGAAAGCCTCTTGAGGGCTTAAGGGACTCCATTAGAGTCTGTTTGTCTCAGGCTGGGGCCTGGCGCACTGGCTGCACCTGAGCTCACCCACCCCCTGCAGCTCCCCTGCTGAGCGTCCTTGTCTTTTATCTACCAAGCCTCAGGAGGGATTTTTAATCACTGCGCTGTGTGACTCTTCTCACAATGGCTCTGCTCCCTTCCTCAGGGAGGCCTGAGGAGTTCTCTCCTAACGTGCCTTGTGTTACCTTCTTAATTCTGGACCCTCACCCAGGAGCCCAAGGACAAGACTGCCAGCCTGAGCTTGAATTCCAACCACCTCCTGAGGCCTGCCTGGGTCCCCTCTGCTCTGACCCTTCTGTTGACAAGCAGCGGGTGAGTGCTTGGCTGGGCTGGGGTGGGCGGGAAGGCCTTTCCTCACACCCCAAACAGCATGGTTTGGCTCCCAGAGCTAGGCCAGCATGTGGAGGATGCACCAGCACAGCCTGGCCTCCATGCCATCCAACGGGAAAGCTGTTTAGTCTGCTAGTGCCAGGGCTCCTCCCCCCACAAGCGAGGACTGGAGAGAGACACTGAAGTGAGAGGCTGGGAGCTTTGGGACTCTGCAGTTAGTCAGGCCTATGCTCTCCACTCCTCCAGTCTTCCCGTCAAGGCCCCTCTCAGAACCGTCTCAGAAAGGGGAAGAGGACAGGGGCCTGGGATTGAGTCAGAGAGGAACTGAGGTGGGGATGGAGTGACTCTAGGGGCAGGGCTGGAGTGTGTGGGAGGGGCCAGGCTAGGTTGTAGAAAGGGCTGGGTCCACACCCACTGACAAATATTTTCCTGGAAAACTGTTCTGAACTAGGAAGCCCTTGGAGCAGTAGCTGGCAAAGAAGGTTCAGACAGAGAGGCCAGGGAGGGACTGCACAGAGAGACAGGGGAGGCCTCTTTAGCAGCACCTCAGCCTTATCTGCTTCACTCTGTTTACCTCCTCCTGTCCCTCTCCTTCCATTGTTGTCGGCCCCTGACCCTTCTTGTCCTCTTCCCTGCCCTCTTTGACTGTGTTTCCCTCCCTCTCAATTGTTCTTCCTCCTCCTGCCCTCCTGCCCTCCACCCTCCTGTTTCCCAGCTTACAAACTGCTGCAGCTGCTGGATAAAAATAGCAGTGGCAGTGGCCAGGCCAGGAGCCAGGTAGAGCCTGAGCAGGCAGGGGGCCAGCTGGGGGTTAGGGAGCAGAGGCTGCCCACACACCCAGGTGGAGCAGCCTGAGGGGCAGGGCCAGAGGGTTCCTGCTGCACTCTGCTGCTTGCCTGCCCTGCATCCCTCTCCCGGGGTCAGAGGAGATCTGTGGGAAAGCAGAGCCAAAACAGGGCCTCTCACTACTTCTGCCCCCAGCGAGCCTCAGAGGAAGGGAGCTCTCAGCCAGACAACGCCAAGAACGCTGTCACCATGACAACCAGTCACCAGCCTCAGGACAGGTACTGGGGGACCTGGGCTGGGCACGGGGGGGGGGGGTGTAAATGGGTCTCCGGGGCACTGGGTGCAGTGTCCTTTGGAATCTGGGGTTGCCACTGTTGGCTGGCCTTCTGTCCAGGTAGCTGTGAGTCAGGTCTGGGTCAGGGTGGGGGCCGTGTGTGCCTTGGCTGGGTAGGTGGGCGGTAGTCCTTCCCTGGCCTGTCAGTATTTCCACTGTTGCTCTCTAGCCAACCAGCAGCTTCCGGCTCCTCCTGCCACCATTGTAAGGAGACATTTGGCAGCTCCCCTCATTCCCAAGCACATCTAGCAGAACCTCAGATGAGCCCGTCCCACTCTAGCCCTTGACCTGACCTTTCTCTCACTTTCCCACCTCAGGAGCCTGTGAGACCCTACAATTGTATTCTGTGCAAGTGTGTTTTGGGGGAGAGGCTGGAGCTTGATTCCAGTTCTCCAAGGGGTCAAGGGGCCAAGAAAGTTGAGAAGCACGGCCTGGGATCTGAAACGCCTTCCAGGTGCAAGGCTCTGTCTCTCCCTCCAGCTCAGGCCTCAGACCCCATCACAGTTCCCCTGCCCACCCTGTCTCCTCCTGTGCCAGAGGCCACAGAACTAGGCCACTTCTGGCTATGGGGCCTTGGGCACTTAGCTTCATCTCTCTGGGACTCTTTCACCATCTGTAAAAGAAGAGTAAGAATAGCTACTTCATAGGGGCTCATTTGGAGGGGAGAGGATTTAAGGAGACATAGTAAGTACATGGCCCTCGTTAGGGCCCTCCTCTCCTCCATTCCTGGGCTGCCTGCCTGCCCCCACCCCAGCCTTAGTGTTCCTGTAGTAGGCAGTCTCCTGAACCCCAATTTTCTTTCTTCCCACTTCCATCGACCTTGTTGCACTCACTCGTTTCCCAACCTCATTCTGGCCGTTGGTCCTGTTTGACCTTTCTAACTCTAGTCTGGGCCTGTGAACTAAGCCCTTGGCTCTCTTATTCAAGGTGAGGACTATCTGAGGGAATTCAGGGGGCTGCGATTGCAATGGCTTAGACTTGCCCACTTGGGCGCTCACCCAGGCCTTCCCTGTGAGAGGCCTGCTGTGGTCCAGGCCCCTCTGCTCTGGCCAGACCTGTCGTCTCACAGCCCTGGTCTGAGTCCCTGTCATCTCTGTGGAGAAAGCAGGGCTAGGCTGTGGGCAGGGTACAGTGGGCATGTCTGAGGATTGTGGTGGGAGGGTCCTAAGCTTATAGACAAGGCCTGTCCCAGACATGGCCCTGAAGTGTAGGGTTTGGGGCAATCCCCTGGCTGAAAACTAGGATGGCCCTTGTTTACACTGTGGGGCCCAGATGATGTCCAGTTGCCCTACACCTCCTGACCTGCTGTAAGTGGTGTGACCTACAGAGCCACTTCTGTCTAGGCCAGGAAAAAACACCTCCTTCATTTCCTGGCAGCCTTGAGGCACCCACCTGCCTGCCTACTAGGTCCAAAATGGGCCGGGAGTTTCTTGACCTCAGAATCCTCTTTGGGGAACCACAGAGTCCCTGCCCAGATGCCATAATCATTTCCAACTCCTATTGGAGTTGGAAAAACAACTTAACTGTTTGCTTTCTCACTCACCCGCCCACCCCCAGTGTTTCAGCAAGATTTCCAAAACCAACCCCAGATGTGAGGGTCACAATGGTTCCTAGCCTGCAGCGTCCCCCAAGTCTTCCAGGGCTGAGAACTAAGGTCCTATCAGCCATGCCATTCTGCCATGTGTCACTGGCCTCCCTCCCACTCTGGACGTTCTGGATTAGTATTGTGCGCTTTTCTCTCTCCCAGGGTACCCTCTCCCCTGACTCCCAACAAACATACCTGTAGAAGGACACATGCACGTGGACACAAACACAGAGTTCTCCAGCCCCAGCCTCTTACCCTGGTCAGAGGGACACCTGGAGAGACTGAAGGTCAGGGAGGGAGGGGCGTCCCCAGGCTTGCTCTGGGGAAGGAGGGCAGGATGGAGAGTCACTCTGGCCCCCTTTCCTTTCCCATGCCCAGGTACAAAGCTGTCTGGCTTATCTTCTTCATGCTCGGTCTGGGGACGCTGCTCCCTTGGAACTTCTTCATGACGGCCACTATGGTGAGGCTGGGGGCATTGGGCCTGAGGGGGCAGGGTCACTGGGTGTGCAGGGCCTGCATCTGTGCATGCGGGCTCAGGGACAGAGGCTCCAACACTCCTTTCCACAAATCCCACAGTATTTCACAACCCGCCTGGACAAGTCCCATAATGTGTCTTTGGACACTGCTGAGGTAAACAAGGACATCCAGGCCTCAGCACCCCCTGCAGCACCCTCTACCGAGCGGAGTTCTCTCAGTGCCACCTTCAACAATGTCATGACCCTGTGTGCCATGCTGCCCCTGCTGCTCTTCACGTGCCTCAATTCCTTCCTGCATCAGAGGTGAGGGCCCACCTCACCCCTCACTGTCTCCTACAGTCCCCAGACTGAGAGCCAGGTTTGACCACCCCTTCCTGTCCCGCTCGGCCCCTCCCGGCAGGATCCCTCAGTCAGTACGGATCCTGGGCAGCCTGCTGGCCATCCTGCTGGTGTTCATGATCACTGCCATCCTGGTGAAGGTACAGATGGATGCTTTGTCCTTCTTCGTCATCACCATGATCAAGATCGTATTCATTAATTGTAAGTTGGGGCTGGGAGGGGGCCTGCAGGGCAGTCTTCCCCACATACCACCACCATTCTTTCAGACCCAGGGTCAGCTGAGAGGACCCAGAAGGGAACGGGTGCTGTGGGCACTTGGGATTCAGAGGCGTGAACAGGCATGGACAGGTTGGGAATGGGAGCAGAGAGAAGGGCAGCTCAGTATCAGGACTCACTGGGAATAAAGCAGGAATTACAGGGACCTGTTTTCCTGTAACCAACAGTTGCTGTCAAGTTGACTCTGACTCATAGCAACCCCATATGTGTCCCTGGGTGGTGTAAATGGTTAACGTGTTTGGCTGCTAACCGAAAGGTTAGAGGTTCAAGTCCACCCAGAGGTGCCTCGGAACAAAGGCCTGGCCATCTACTTCCAAAAAACCAGACGTGGAAAACCCTACCGAGCAGAGTTCTACTCTGACACACATGGGTCACCATGAATTGGAGTTGACTTGATGGCAGCTGGTTTCGTTTTCCTATAAACCCCCAACCTCCAACCTCAGCCCTAGTGGAAGTGAGCCCCGCCCTGCTCCCCCTCCCCCACTGATGCCCATCCTGTTCCCCCAGCGTTTGGTGCCATACTGCAGGGCAGTCTGTTTGGTCTGGCTGGCCTCTTGCCGATCAGCTACACGGCCCCCATCATGAGTGGCCAGGGCCTGGCGGGCTGCTTCTCCTCAGTGGCCATGATCTGTGCCATTGCCAGTAAGTCCTGCTGCCTACTTGCCTCTTGCCTTGGTTTTTGTGAGAAGGAGGTGGGACCTATCTCTGATCACTGACACCACTATCCCCACCTCAGGTGGCTCAGAGCTGTCAGAAAGTGCCTTTGGCTACTTTATCACAGCCTGTGCGGTCATCATTCTGACCATCATCTGTTACCTGGGCCTGCCCCACCTGGTGAGCAATGCAGAAGGCTGGGGTTTGGGGTGTGTGGAGTCCAGGGTTGCAGACCAAGAGTGGTCGGAGGTCGAAACCTGGAGGAGGCAGGAATTCAGGAGATCCCACTCCTGAATCTACCTTTTCTGTCTCTCCTACTTGATAGAAATTCTACCGCTACTACCAGCAGCACAAGCTTGAAGGGCCTGGGGAGCAGGAGACCAAGTTGGACCTCATTAGTAAAGGTCTGAATCGCCTGGGGATCTGGGGTGGAGAACAGCATGCCAGGCAGGGGACAGCATAAGCAAAATGACAAGAATGAGTACACTGTTTATTTGTGGGCAGTAGTGAGCCAGCAGAGGACAGAGGAGCTGGGGTGGCGGAGGGGAGCAATGGTAGATAAGAACTGGAAAAGATAAAATGGGGAGATATTTGGACTGAAGGGTAGTCAAAGCATTTTCAAGTTCTTAGGAAAGTAACCTGACCTGAGGCTCCAGGGAGAGGTCAGGACCCAGGTGACGCGGGCTGTGGGAGCTAGAGGGACAGTCTGGGCTGGGCATGAGGGTGGGACCATGGACTAGTTAAGGGGCTGTGTGCTCCCAACCAACCCCCCCCCCCTTTGGTCTCATCTCTCCCCATGACTTGAAGATCCCTCCACAACCTCTCACCCCCCAGGAGAGGAGCCAAGAGCAGGCAAAGAGGAGCCCAGGGTCTCAGCCCCCAACTCTCAGCCCACCTCCAATAAACCCTCTGTCAGAGCCATCCTCAAAAATGTACGTGGGCCAGGGTGTCCTGCCCTCTCCTCCTCAGCCTCTTCTTCCTTTGCCCCCGCTCCTTGTCCCCACTCAGCTCCTCCCTTTCTGACCTGAGATTTGGATTCGCTTTCATGTGTGTATATGTGTGTGTGCGTGTGTGTGTGTGTGTGTGTCTGTCTGTCTGTCTGTCTTTGTTGGGGTGGGGGTTCTTTTCTGCATGACCACCTTGAAAACTCAGGCCTGGGTGAATTTCCTGCCGTTTTCTCCAGATCTCAGTCCTGGCTTTCTCCGTCTGCTTTGTCTTCACTGTCACCATTGGGTTATTTCCTGCTGTGTCCGCCGAGGTCAAGTCCAGCATCGCGGGCGCCAGTGCCTGGGGTGAGGATGTCATGGGTTCCCAGGATGGGGTGGGGGCTACAGCAAGACTGGAATTGGGGGAGACAGGGAGCCTGGGCTGCCTTCTCTCCAGCCAGACCCTCCTGAGTCTATTTATCCTTCCCTGGGCTGGAAGCACCTTCTCCATTTTATAGCTGGGGAAACTTGTCCAGTGAGGGTTAGGGTTTGATAACTACCCTCTAATCTACTCTGACTTTTCCAGGAAACTACTTCATTCCTGTGTCCTGTTTCTTGACTTTCAATGTCTTTGACTGGCTGGGTCGGAGCCTCACAGCCGTATTCATGTGGGTAAGTGGAAGAAAGGGGTATCAGGCCCCTGTGGGAGGGAGGAGTCTAGCCTTGAGACCCAGAAAGGGAACCCAAGAAGGCATGATGGTAAAGGAAGTATGTTCTTTTTTTTTTTTAATTGAGATATAATAAAGTGCACAAACTTTTAAGTATACAGCTATGCATACAACACACACTCCTGTAAAATCACCACCCAGATCAAGATATAGAACATTGCCAGCGCCCTCAGGGCGCTCCACTGTGCCTCCTCTCAGTCAGCATCCCTAAGGATAACCAGGCTTTGAGGTTTCCGTTTAGATCCTGAGGGTCTCCACACAGAGCCCTGAGGGCCTAGGTGTCTGGGTGTGCCCTTGGGGCAGGCCTGGACTAAGGCATTGCCCTGCTTCCCACAGCCTGGGAAGGACAGCCACTGGCTACCAAGCCTGGTGGTGGCCCGGGTGGTGTTCGTGCCCCTCTTGATACTGTGCAACGTGCATCCCCGCTACTACCTGCCTGTGGTCTTTGAGCACGATGCCTGGTTCATCTTTTTCATGGCCGCCTTCGCCTTCTCCAACGGCTACCTCGCCAGCCTCTGCATGTGCTATGGGCCCAAGTGAGTAGGGCCAGGTGGGGACCTTGGTGGCATCAGGCAGGGTCCAGAGCTCCAGTGGGGGACACTCAGAGTTAGAGAGGCCAAAAGGAGGCTCTCTGATCCTGGAACTTAGGGTTCCCAGGCTGAGATGGGAGACCCCTGGGGAGAGGCATGGAGGCTGAGGGGGAGGTGGTAGGAGTAGGGTGCCCAGGCTTAGGTGGAGATGTGGGAGGGGGGCTGTCAGGATGAGGTGGAAGCTAGCCCCAGTACACATCCTCCCCAAGGGAAAAAAGCTAGGTTGGGGTTAGGATATAGGATGGGTTAGTTAGCTGAGTTAGGTACTCAGTTAAGTCCCACACCCCCTGCCCTGGCTGGGGCAGGAGCCCATCCTGAGGTGGCCTTGCCTCCCTCCCTCAGGAAAGTGAAACCGGCTGAGGCGGAGACCGCAGGAGCCATCATGGCCTTCTTTCTGTGTCTCGGCTTGGCACTGGGGGCTGTCTTCTCCTTCCTGTTCCGGGCAATTGTGTGACCGTGGACAGACAGAAGGACTGCACTGCCCACCTGCCTCCGGCCACCTTCTTTCTTCTTCCAGGGATGGGTAGGGGTGGTCTGGAGGCTTTCTCTTCTAGCCGACCTCTGGTATCTCACTGCCTGTGCTGGGCCCAGGTGGCCAGGCCCAGGGGAGGGAGCTTCTGTAGGTGGACAGTGGAAACCACTGTGGTCCTGAAGGTCAAAGTCAACGGAGGGGGCGCAGTCTCTGCATCTGCCCAAGCCTCCCCTGCACTTGGTTCTGGCTGGCCTCTGCTTGAGCAGGACCACAGAGGCTCCTGGGCTCCGAGATGAGTGAGTGTATCCTATCTATATGTATGTATGTTTGTCGGCCTGTCCTAGTACCAAGGGTGGTTAGGGACCAGGACTGACCCTTATATGGTCTAATCTGATTATTTCTCCTCCTCCCCTTCTCCCCATGTACTTGTCGCCACTGCCCCCCCCCGCCCCACCCCGCATCCCCTCCCCTGCTCTCCATGCCTAGTTACTATCCATCATGCACGTTATACAGATTGTCATTATACTGCCTTTTTTTATACTCAACAGAAACCAAGTGCCTTCAGAGGCTCTGTGATTAAATAAACCTTTTTTTTTTAATCCCTCCTTGGCTCCCTGTGTCCTCCAGCCATGGCCTCATGCCCTGAAGAAGGCAGAGGGCTGGCAGCCTGAGTCTTGGGGGGATGAGAATGACCTAGCTGGGCCTCTGCCAGGGCTGGGCCCAGGTCCAAGGGGAGGTAGTCCTCTTGGCCTCAGAGGGACTGCAGTGCCTCCTACTGGGACCACAGGGAGAGACAGGCCTGGAGCCAGGACACTGACCATTGGCCCAAAGGCCAAGTTTTTCTTTGCTACTTCATTCCTTCTTTCATAGGGCTGGGGATGGAGATGGCTCTCTGTCTTTCCTTTGTCTTCACTACCACCCGCTTGTGCTCTGTCCTCAGCCCCAGGAGTGAGCTCTGCAGCACTGGCTAGCGTGCCCCACCCCACAACCCCCAACCTCAGCTCCTGGCAGCACTCCTGCACCATCAGGCAGAAAGAGGCTGAGGCCTAAGGGTTCGCCCCTACCTGGCACCGTGCCCTGACACCAAAGCTCAGACTGCCTGGGGAACAAGGGGCCTATGTGTCCTGCATTGAAGCTGGGTCCCCCCCGCTTCTCATCCCAGACTCTGGCCTAGGGAGGGGTGGATTGGTATGGGGGCCTGTAAGAGTGCCTCGGAGGTGGGGGCCATGCTGCTGGGGCCCCCTTCTCAAGAATGACTTCTTGACTGGAATGGGAGTGGAGCTCTGGCCACAGAGGCCCCAGCCTCACTGACCTGGGCCTCAGGTGCAGCCTCAGACTCCTCCAGAAGGACAAGAGGTATCTCCGCAGAGCTGAGCCAGCCAGCAGATTGCTACAGAGTTGGCACCTCTGATAGGGCTTAATTTCTCACATGAGTTTAATTTAATTGAAGGCTTCAGACCTCATTAAGGGCTGTTAGCCCATTTTTAAGGCTCATTGATGAGCTCTGAAACCCTAATGGGGTAGTTAAGTATACCATTGTATTGGGAACTAAAGTCTATGTACTAATTTGTCAAACCAGGGTACATATCTGAGGTTGGTGGAAAATAAGATACTCCTTTCCTCTCAAGTTGAAAAAGTCTATGGAAGGCCATTTGGCAATAAGAGTCAAGCTGTAAGAGACAAACCTGAGCCCTTTATCTTCCCCTGCCCTCCTTGCCATCAGTCTCCCCGACTTCCCCATTTTACCCTATGCTTTCCTTTCAGGACCAACAGGAACCCTGTGTTTCTCCCTGGGTGCCTTCTCGGGTCGGGCCCCTCCTGCCTGGCCTCTTTCAACTTCCTCCCTGGTTTCCAGTGCATCCCACACGTGGCCACAAGAATCATCTGTAAGCAAAATGAGGTTTATGCTGGGCCTGTCCCTGGGGCATGTTCCTACCTTCCAGAGCATTTCCTGATCCTTTACCAGAAGCAGCAGCGGCTAGTGCGTGCAATTGCTTTCCCCTCTGTACCTCAGAACTTTTGTAACTTTGTTATTCATCTTCTATCACATTCTCTTCTTACTCCAGCTACCAGACTGTCATGTTTTTGAGGGCAGGGTTTACACTTTACTCACAGTTTTGAATCTTCAAGCTGTAAGCATTGTACCTGGCTCCCAGAGGTACTCAAATGTTTGCTTCATTGCACAAGCTAGGCTCAAGATGGGGCTTTTCTTCCCCCACACGGAAGCGATCTTCACGTGTCTGACTCCTGTTGTGTGGCAGCATTTATTGCCTGTGCCCGTGGGACAGACCGATGTGGGGTGTTAAGTAGGTTCCCCTCAATCCCAGCGATGATTTTGAGGGAAAAACGTATTTAGAATACAATCACTTTTCTTCTTTCTATACTTACTGTTGACACTGAAGAAAACTACTAGAATATTTTTGCCAAAAATACTTTCTAATGCAAATGAAAAAACCGTGTCCTCACTTCATTTCCATTCTGATCTCAGTGTCTTCACCTGTAGACAGTAGGGATTGACAAAGCAGCTACCAGGTCTCCTGCCTGGCTGGCTGCAATGACGACTCCTGACCACAAGTGGGCTTTCTTCAGGCAAACCACCTTTGGGAGGCGGGACTAGATAGGGGCCTCCTCCAGGGGTATTTACCACTTTCCTCCTACCGTTTTGTTTCCTGTACAGTGGGGAGGGCTGAGCATGTGAATCTACCAGGTATCCTTGACCCTGCTGTGACATTGCCTTCTGTGTGACATTCCTGCTCAAAGCATCAGTCTGCATTCAACAACTGTCCTCACTGGAGTGGCTGTCCCTGCAACTCAGAAATTTCCCTGTTATTTTATGGTGAATTGTTGGGGTTTCTAACACTTTTGAAAGCTAAGTGCCCCAGTCAAATGAGCAGCCATTATTGAAAGTAGAAGTGAAGCCTCAGGTATAACTAAATGACTAACTGGAATATATCTGCATATCTCTTCTTTGAGGTGAATGTGGGAAAAGCATGGTGAAGGCAGTATAAGGGGGATGACAGAAAACCCCAATTCTTGGAAAAACCAGTTGTTCTCAGAGTTAAACTATGCCAGTGACTCAAAACGGACGTGAGAAGAGAAACGCAGAATCACTTTAAAGAAATAGCTCGGCTATCAGGGCTGAAACTTGGCTGAGTCTTATCTACAGCTAGAGTGGCAGTCCTAGGGAGGTCAGCCAGCCAGCAGATCTGACACGGGGGCCAGGCTGGCAGTGCTTGCCCTAGCCTTGGAGCCTCTCTGGTTCCTGGGGCAAGTTGGCGCTGGATGTGGAGATGGGCATCCCATCATGCCCCGTGTCCTGGCTGGGCTCCTCTAGGCTGTTTCAGCACGATCTGGCTTCCTGTGTGGGTGCACTCAGGGACAGGGTGTTCCCACTCAGATCCCTTGGCAGCCTTGGTGCGCCTTGGAAATGAGCAAGTTGACATCCTGGCTCTAGACTGCAGGGTGAGTCTTAACTGGACTTAGCTGGACCCCATGAAGTCGCTTCCTTTGGCTGCACTGTGGGGCCTTTATCCATGACAGCTGCCCTGTCCTAGAGCTTTCCATTGGAAGCAGGAGGGGATTGGTGTTGAGGGGGTGGGGAAGTGGATTAAGAGACGGCTTCGGTCCTGGGCCTGCCTTGTGTCAGCTGTGTGACCTTGGACTAGTCATTCATTTTCTGGCCCCAGCTCTTCATCCTTAAAATAGGTGACTATGTACAAACTTGCTGAGGAAATTGAGTCTGCGCTCAAGAGCCTAAATACAGCAGGTGAGGAACCCGCAGATCCACGTGGCGTCATCCGTCGTTAGGCTCAGCATGGCCGCCCCACCCCCTGCCCCCATCTAGGCTCCTCGCCGCTCCTCCGGCACCACGTTCTCCCCCTCGCCTCACTTCCCCCACTCTTGCCAACCCCTCTGCGAACCAGCTGGGTCCCCGCCCCCCACAGATGGCTGGGAACTGCAGGGGTGACCAGAGTCCCCCTCCCCCGCTCCCTTCCTCCCCAGGCAAGGGGGAGGGAGGCACGTGACATCATTGTGCCCGGTGCCTGTTGGCGGGAGTGCGACCCCCATTCCCCTGCGCATATCAGCCCTGGCAGTTGGGGGACCAGACTGGTCATCAGACCGACTCTAGTGCTCCTGTCTGGGTGACCTTGAATCAAGCACTTTACGTGTCGCAGCCGCTCATCTAAAGCAGGAATAGTAACGCTTTCCCTGCCTGCCTCACTGGGTAGTGAAACTCCACTGAGATAACAAATTTCACCAGCTACTCAGTGCTCATCGCTTCTCTTGCCTTGTCTCTCACGAGCCCCCAGCGACCCTATGAAGTGCTGACAATTGCTGTGCCCGTTTACTCTCGAAAACTGAGGCTGAAAAGATTAAAACGATGGGAAAACATCTTGTACACTGCAAAACACCAGGTACATCAGAACGTCATCGCTGTTCACATCCCCAGGGATCCCAAGCCTTCTAGGATACTGAACTCCCGCATCACCCTGCCCAGCTGAAACCAGAAAGTTCTTGATATTTAGGTATTTAACATCAGTCCCTCTTGTGATTTCCTCCCCACCCAGCAGCACTATCACAGCCCTTCCAGTCCCTTGTCTGGATGGAAGTGGACCAGGCAGGCACTGGGCCCAGTGAATGGCCCAGAAACCCAGTCAGTTGACACCGGCACACTGAGAGGGAGTGGCTGGTGCCTGGGACAGGGCAGGAAAAGCAGTTAAGTAGGTCAGGATTGTTTGTGGTGCCACCTACCCCCGCACCTTTCTCTGACTATAATCTGCTCTGGACTGAACTAATGTGGGGTGGTTTTACCACCTTAGTCAAAGGGGACGCTGAACAATGCCAAAACAAAAAGGGATGCCTGGTGGGCGTGATGGCAGGACAGAGATTTTTGGGCTGGCAGACAATGGCAGGCAGGCAGGATCATTCACACCCCTTAGGTCACTGACACCACACCCTTAGAAAGAGGAGACACAGTCACA